AAACGTATCTATGGGTATAGAAAACAAATAAACAAAAAATAACTACATAGATAGATAGTTTCCCAAATCTTTGGAGGCGTGAAAAACAGACGTGTTATCATATTTTGTATTGTTTATTCCATTTTGACTATTAATCACAATGGCGCATTTACCCCATCAACAACAACCCCTTTCCGGCAAAGTTTGCCTTTTTCAGTTCCCCACTAAACGACCCACCACCAATTAGCGCGACTTTGCGAAAAACTTCCCCAATTTCGCAACTTCCGCACTAATAGTTGCAAAATCTTGGCGCGCAACTTTTTTCTCTCACGCCCCACCCCAGATTCCTCCAATTAAAACCCCCGCATTAGCGCCGTACTTTGTCCGTGAATATTTCATGCGAAAAATGTCTAAGTTGGAGCGGCGAATTTAAGGAAGTGCGCCATCCCATTTATCTCCCAAATTAATAATTCACGTCGAAAGTATCGCGATAACTCCGCAAACTCAAAACCAACCAAAAAGTTCCCTCAAATTATCAATCGTGCAATCAGCTCACCGGCGTTGTGCTCGGTATCATCTGGCGAAAACGGGAGGTGTTGACGCACGCGGGGGCGAAAGTGGGGTTTATTCCACTGGGTGCACGCACGAACTTTGAGGGTCTGTTCGTATTAATTTAACACTCCAACTTTCAGGAATAGATTTTTACATGTTTGAGGCAACAAGTAAGTTGGGACACTCGGTATACTAAAGATTTATATGTTGCTGTACTGAATTTTAAATTTCAGCTTTTTTCTCAAGCAAGCTTGCTTTCCCAAAAAAAGTACTTTTTTGTGTTTTGAAAATAGTCTATTTCTTTGAAAAGCACAAACTCAGCTGCTTTAGAAAAAAAAATGGTCGAAGATTTTACCGACAGTACCTGCGCCGGTGCTTAACTTCGACTGTTTATGTTTATACTTCGAAATAATTCGACTCATAACACGTTCAGATTATCAGCAGCAACGATTAAAAGAAAATGAAATTTGACCAATTTTGTCTCCTCAAAGCAGGGTTTAATTAATTAACCACACTTAATTTTTTTTCACAAAAAAACCCATACATTTGAAGAATGGCAAAATTGTAAAGCGACGCACAAATTTTGCTTAATGATTTACCATGTTTCCAATAACCCTAAAATATTCGCAATAGTTCACAGCATTCGGTTGTACTTGTACTTTTTCTCTACCTTTCACAACCCCTAGAGTACGAAGAAATGGGTTTCCCGCTTTTGCCTGTCTGTCGGTTTGTCGGTCTATCTATCTATCCGTCTGTCTGCCGTCTATCCGGATAAACATTTAGTGCAATGTTTAACCGCATAAATTAGTTTCTTTTTATTGTAATTAATTAGTTTTACAGATGCTTGTGGTTTTTGTCATGCATCCTTGGGCATTTAGTATAGTTCAAATCTGAGAGGCGGCACGTTTACATGACCTACTACGACTCTATAATCATTCATAGAAACTCTGTTCAAAATGTTAAAAAATAAATTTTCTCAACGTAAGCAAAGGATTGTAATCGAGTCTATCGGGGGGCGTGTGTCTACTTTCATGTTTTCTCTACATTTGATGACCCATAGAATATAAAAAATGAAGTCTCTTGGTTCAGTCTGTCTGCCGTCTGTTCAGATTGATTTTAAGCAGATAATCTCCAAAACTACCGGACCGATTGTTGTCAAATTTTATATGTATGTTAGGAATATCGTGTAGACGGTGAAACGCTAACCAAAATTTGCCCGATCTCCCTATCAATGTCATGACATCTCAATTTTTTTTTCAAATCTCTAAAACGATACACCTTAGTATTATTTTTAGTAATACACTGCATGTGTTGGAATTGATATAGGTGTTCTGGTTGAAATAATGTTGACCGAAACATTTATAAATGGGAAACTCACCAATACATACGAGTATAATGTTGACCTTTATCAATGCATTCATATTTTTGGAGCAAATTGTTAATCCGGTTCCTATCATGGGTTGACGACCAGGTCACTCCAGAGTTGCCGATCAAATATAAACAAGTGTGTTTTCGTAACTTAATGTGTTGGAATGCTAGAGAGTGGACAGAGCGGGGTATGGGTGTTTAAAGCATGATACATTATTTACATGAGGTCGTTTACCTTTTATAGTGACTGATATCACTTATCTATTTTTATTTTAATGTATAGAGATTATCATGAATACAAATTCGCAAAATCAAATTTTTTATTTTTTCAAAAAAGTGCGATTTCAACTGCACTTCGGGGGCAAGGGAAGTCCTGTCGAAATAACTTTCGACCAATTTTTTAATTTCAGAGTTAAACTGTAAAATATTTATATGCAGTTTTGATGATATCTTTGAGAAAAATCTATATACGAAGGGTAAAAACTCAACACGGAATCATAAATTACACATGCAGAAACATGTTATTTTAACATTTATTCAACAGAATTGTACGATGACGTCATAATTTTTTAGAGAGGTCATAAACAAATAAAATTTGATTAACGATTTATGCTTCCGATAATATTTGCAAGATTTCAGACAGTTCGGTTCTGCAATTCCAAAATTAAATTGTAAAATAAAATTTTGAATTTTTTTCCAAAAATCCGGAGGTCTAGGGTAAAAACTCCACACGGATTAGTCAATCACACACTGAAGAGTATGTAATTCTATAAAATAAAAAAAATATATTTTCAAAAATTGTAAAATGATGTCATCACTCACCAATTTTTGGGAGGATATAAAGGAAAAACAATTGATTAACCATTTACCAAGTTTACGATAACCTTAAAATGTTTGTAAATTATTATCTAATAAAAATCCGGACAGACGACAGACAGGCAGACATACGGACAGACAGACGAAAACGTAAGACCAATTTTTTCGTATTCTGGAGGCCATGAAAAGTCGAAAAATCATAAAAGTCGTCCAATGGACTCCACTAGAACACTTCTTTAGCTTACGCTCAGAAAGTTAAAATGCAAAAAACAAATTAATAATATAATTTTTGCAAATTTATCCACAAAGATGAATAATTTTATCGAGATTTTTATAGTTATTTATCTAAACAATTTATGAAATCAGTTCCTGTCTCTAAGTAAATATTATTTCTATTCTTAACACAAATATAGGAAACTATTTTCTAGGATCACACAGGTAGTAATCCAAACATTCACATTAACCATCGCGGAATTTCCTGCGTATAACGCTGTTGATTACAAAGCAGAATAATAACATAGATGTTGACGAATAATTCTCCTACGCATAATTTATTTAAATTATATTCAACTGAATATTAATTTGACAGGTAGATTAAAAAACAGATTTTTTTAAATGATGCGATATGGGGTGACAATATAAGTTTATTTTGTTCATTTTAACTGTCAGTGGAATCAGTACCAAATATACTTCTTTATTGTATTTCCTTGGTCCTTAAATTAGAAACGAAAGCTTCACACTTACTTGGTCCACAAAATACGAATTTGTGTTTAAATCACGATCTCCACCGCTGAAAGTTGTTATTTATCTCAGGGTGCTTGATAAATAACAGGTGTTCCCAGACAGGAATGTTTGTTTATCTTTCGTTTCTTATAAAATAAAGATACATTTCTGCTAACAAAAACAATTTTTGTATTATTACTTCCTACGTTTATTAACAATAACATTAACTTGGTTATTTACTGCTTTAATTTACTCTGTACGTATTTACCAAACAAAATCTGTAACAATTTATATAAATTTATTCAGCAAGTTCACGAGTTTTATTATAAACCTCGAACAAGGCCGCTGTTCTGTACGTTGTAAGTTATAAATTGTTGACTGTGTTTGTAATATTTACTCTTTTATTTCAGTAACTAGCAGAGTGAATTTTATTTTCCGAATGCAACCCTGACAGTTTCAAAGTGGCACCTATCATCTGTTGCAGATTGGAGAAAATCTTTACCATGGAGTCTATTTGAGCATCCTCGGCGTAAATGAAACTAATAACCTATAAAATTTTACTATCGTATGAAACGTGCCAAAAGTACATGTTTCACATACATACACAAAATGGCAGGTGTCGATCAATAAATTATCACATTTGGTTTGTTGCGTTGTTGTTTTAAATAACAAAATTAACTTATGTAAAATTAATTCATAGTTTAGTACAGAAATAAATGCTATTGATAACAACTGTAAACTGAAAACCATCTGTTTTCCAAAAATTTTTCCTAAAATATTTCTTACATCTCAGTTTTTCAGTTTTTTTTTTAATACACACCTTAGATATTAAAATACAATAAGTGAGCATTTCTTGCGTTATATCTTGTGTGTTGGCAGAATTTTAGAAAAATTTTGAACAGTTTCAAGAGCCTGTTAACGTTGCATAATTTTAGTATTAGAATCAAACTACGAAATACTTCGATGGTTTGTTTTATCTTTAAAGGTCAGTACTTTAGCAGCTACCATTTCTATGATTTCTACCCTACCGTTAACAATAATTGTATTATCTATACAATTTTGAGGAAACTCTATTTTAATGTATTATATTTCAGAGTTTTTACAATACGATTGTTATACTTTGTGTTCTGCGAAAAAAATATTTTACAATATTTTCAAAATTTCAAGCGTATAAAATCACATCCTTGGTGTAAAATTTTCAAAAATTAATTTCCATATTTGATGTAAAAAATCAGCGAGTTTCACAACTCTGAAAAAACTCTTGTTATTGCAGATAAATAATGCCGCAGACATCTACCAACCTACAGGAAAAGAAGTAATAAAAAGAATCCTCGCATCATTTACTTCACCATTTCGGCTATAATTACAGAAAATTTGATCCAAATCAGAAGAACCATCCCTTACGCCATCTGTCACAAAACCACCCATATGGTTTATTACAGTTTACCAAATTACAAAATCTTGTTCAATTAAAACACGTCTCTAATCCCCAAATAAATATTTCAAGGTTCACATTACAACAATTATTACTACCATCATCCTACCCATCCCCATCAACTCACCGTCTTTTCCCGCCCGGCCGTAATCCGCAGCGAAAACAAGCGTCATCAACACACACAAACGCATCTCGCAAATGGACACCATCACGAAAGTTGGCTTTACCCCACTCAATGCACACACTCACTTCTCGTCATAACCGGAAATCGGCTCGCTTCCGGGCCGCCGAGACGCGTTCATAACCAGTAGCGGGCGAAGCGCGCGAAAAACTAACTAACTAGGCCTAGCTAGGGCTTAACTAGTGCGCTGGGGTCCGGCGGGCCGCGCTCCAGAGTCCGGGCAGATCCGCGATTTTCGAAACTAATTTGGTATCGATCTCTTGGCCAACTGTGATGACGCCTTCGTCATAGCACCCTTGATACTGGCGCTTCTCGGGTCTCGCCCCCACTAGCGTCCAGCGACGCGCATGCTTTTATCATCCCTTATCCCGCACCTGTAGTACAATGGGATTTACTTATACAGGCGAGTGTTATCATATTTGGAAAAAATCGGAATAAGCCGGGGATGTGCACGGCTTTCCGGGAATGGGGGAGGGCCTGGGGTTGGGGTGGAGGTAAAGGGTTCTACCGATTTGTAAATTTTAAGGTTTTGCCAAATTTGGCGGATGCATAGTGGCACGAAACTGAAAATACGTGGCAAAAATTGTTTTTTTGAAAATTAGACGGCCAGCTATCTGATCCATTACTCACCATTAGTTATTGTAAGTTTATAATTGTTTAGATTGCCTCAGACCGTACAAATGTTATATTTATTATTCCTTATTTTTTTTCTCTAATTATTTTTAAGTGGTATAACTCAAAGTGTTAGGTAAAGTAGTGTTGCAAATTTGGCAATTTAGAAATCATTTTGTATGTATGCGGTGATTTATAAAAAAGCCCCATGTTGCCACCCTGTTGTAGGTAATCATTTGTAAAATTTGAAAAAAATCTTTATTTTTGATGGTAACCCAATAATAATACCAATCACAGTGTAACAAAAAAGTCTCATAAAACAATAGAACCTACGACTTTTGCGTTGCGAGCAGGATACACTACCCGATGCCCTACTACCACTTTTTAAAAAAATATAGGCTTGCGTGCGTAGCAACACCCAGGATATGTATGGGTCATATTTGCAATATACTAAATTAAGCTTCCCTCTTCAAGCTAAAAACATTGGGGTTTACAATATTTCTAACCGTTCTCAAGATATTAGGCCGCGGAGTTTTAGCTGAGACACAATGCATATATATATACAATTTTACAACAATCGGTCAAGTAGTTTTGGAGATTATCTGTGCAATAAAACGACACAGGCAGACGACAGACGTACAGAAACGGAAGACCTATTTTTTGTTAATCTAACAAACATGGTCAAATACAAAACTTTCTGTTTCCATGATATGGTGATTTGTTGAAAACATTGTTGTTTTTAGCAAAGTATGTCAAAATTAAATCAATGCAATGTAATCGATTTCATAATGTACTTAACTTGTTGATGGTTACATACTTTTGACCCCACTGTGACTTTTGTCTTTTGAGATAGCTTGAGCCGACATTATAAGTTACCAAGTGAATGAAGTAAACACCTGAGACATAATTGGCAGTGGAGATTTTAAAATACTCATAATTCATTAATTTTCAGGATGTAGAAACATGAAAAATCATAGTTGAGTACCTACCAAAAATTAATTTTTTGTGAAAAAAGAAGCAACAAAAAATAAATTTTCTTTGATTTAAAAGAGATTGTTCGATTAATGCTGTGCTCACTAAACATGCGACTTTCCAAATTTTAGCGAATAACGAGAGTTTGAAAGCGAAAAGATACATTTAGTGTTTTGTAGAATAAAAGGAAAATGTTACATTAATCAGAAAAATGAACTGAAAATGTTAAGAAAATTCAGTGTTGACACTCAAAATCCAAAATGTTCAAAATATTAGAAATATTTCTTATGTTTTGAAAACTAAATGAATATATTTAGTTAAAACATAATTGGCAGTAGACATTTTCAAATTCCCATAATACATTAGTTTTCAGAGTGCAGTAACATGAAAAAATCATAGTTGAGTCAAAAACAAAATTTTCGTGAAAAAATAGGCAACAAAAAATAAATTTTCTTTGATTTAAAAGAGATTGTTCGATTAATGCTGTGCTCACTAAACATGAGACTTTTCAAATTTTAGCGAATGTTGAAAGTTTAAAAGTGAAAACATACAGGAAATTTGCAATTTAACACCTTTAAATTTCACAAGCTTTTACAATATTAATAGGGGCAAAATCAGTTTTATCTTAACAAATACTAGGCCCACCCACCCACCCCCCATTTTCCCAGAGGATGTCATCTGCCAAAATAAGACATATCTTAGCAAGTGCTAATACAAAATACAAATACAATTTCGATCAATTCATAAAATACTCATCATCTCGAAATATTGAGATAACGTGTATATCCATATTTACTATAAAATAATTCCTGTTTTAGTAGAATGACTCGCATATATATATATATACAATTTTACAACAATCGGTCAAGTAGTTTTGGAGATTATCTGTGCAATAAAACGACACAGGCAGACGACAGACGTACAGAAACGGAAGACCTATATTTTTTCTTAATCTAAGGATAATGAAACGGTGAGAAAACAAACATGATCAAATACAAAACTTTCTGTTTCCATGATATGGTGCTTTGTTGAAAACATTGTTGTTTTTATTAGCAAAGTATGTCAAAATTAAATCAATACAATGTAATCGATTTCATAATGTACTTAACTTGTTGATGGTTACATACTTTTGACCCCACTGTGACTTTTGTCTTTTGAGATAGCTTGAGCCGACATTATAAGTTATCAAGTAATTGAAATACGAATTTAAATATTACACGCACGTGACGTAAAACCAGGATACACTATTTTTATTACATCGAACTATCAATGATAAATAACGATTTATCCTTTCATATTTAATTTTCAAAGTCAACAGATTCGTGTAATTTTCTCCATCCTGTTTCTTTATATCGTATCCCAAATCCTTCATTATGTGAGCAACCTGTGCGATAGGAATCCCTTTGTCCAGTTCGAAGTCAGCTCACGACAAAAAATCATGAAGTGATTTCGGCGCAGATTTGGATCTTTTGTGGTCTAAAGGTCTGAAGACAAAAATATCTCGCTGAAATTCTTATATATAAAAATAAACTCTTTTTAAATCGGAATAACCGCAAAAAGAAATATCAGTCTTTGACGATGAACTTGAAATGTCACACTAACAGAAATACTAAAATCAATTTATCTACTAAAGTAATCCGCCAGAATCCGGTTCAAAATGGTCACCATACCAAATCATTTGTTATTGTCTACCAATAATATAATCAACCTCAAGATTTGAAGGTTGAGTCACTGTTTAGTATATAAACATGGCGACTATCGGTGTTATGAGGAAAATGTTGATTTATTAATAATCCATTCGTCTCCGGGTCATCACTGAATTTATTTATGTCTGATATTAGCTAATTTATGACTATTTATAGTAAGTTAATGAATAATAATTGTATTCTATCCAGGTGATTTTTTTGTTCAGGTACATTTTTGTTTTATTATAAGCGAAATCGTTATTTAGTGCGCCACGTGTCTATTTTCATTAATCAAACGGGCTTAATACACGGTTCCATGGCAGTTCTAATTGTATTTCATTTACAAGAAAAATGAATCTACACAAAATGGAAGGCAAACATTAAATTTGTGTACGTAGTATTATTTGACGTATAACTTGACCTTCAGCTGTGGCGTGAATTAGTACGAGAATAAGCTCTTTGTGCATAGAACATACTTAAAAAATATTTTCACTTAAGTGGTTCTTTGGAGTACTACTTTTGATGCGTCACAATAAAACAGTCGCCAAAAAAGTGCCATCGTCGTTGTTTTATTATCTGAGTAACATATTTTACCTTGCTCGTAGCGGACTTTTCTTTGTGCAATAGATGCTTGTCTAAGCACCTCTATCAAACTGAATATTTAAGATTCTCTGAAATGCAATGCTGAAATACCGCTTCGTTGGCTTAATTCCGATATGAAAACGTTCAAGTTCTTAATAACGTTTCTCTGCTATATACTTGAAATTGTTGTAACATTTGTAGCGGAACTATTTCATATAACCTCTCAAAGGAAGAAACTGTGAGCTTTCTAAAACTGGTCAATTTCGAATTTTTTCTTTGTAATTAGATCTAAAATAAAATTAGGGAACTTAGGACAATATCCCACTAGCGAAAAGCAAAAGATTTTTGCGTTTTTTCTTCGCAGAAAATAATTCAAACGTATTTTGTACGATAATCTTAAAATGCAACACCGATTTTTTCTGACAGATCTAATTCTGTAAGCGTGGTCTAAGATTTTGTTATTTTTATATTTTCTTGGCATTTCTTTAATTTATTTTATTGTCTCATTGTGGTGACAATTATGTGGCTCAGTTTTACTATGCGCATTATTTTTACAATTTTCTCAAGAGGTTTCTGACATTGTCTAGTGCGTTGTTAACACAAGGTTTATTGTTCCACCTTGACCTAGTTCGTTTATATCATTTGTGTAAAAATATGCAAGTGAGAAATCATCCAACCTTTGTTTTCCGAATCGACCTTTGGCCTTACACTTTCTCATCGTTATGTCAATCTCCAGATTCTGAAACATAATTTTCATATTCCCTAAAGGAAGCTCTGGTTTTCATATTCTCTTCCGGCGCCTCCACCATTTTTTTGATAAATATTTGACAACTTTGCTCCGTATCATTTCGCAAATTTTAGAAACCATTTTTGTTTAAAATTAGCTGTTTTAAGTTCGATGATTCCGAAGATTATCCATTCTATAAAATAGAATAGATAATAGACAGACAGACCAACCGAAACTGTATTATTGGAAAAATTTCAGACAACGAAATAATAAAAAACTGAAATGGTATCATGTAGTAAGCAAAAAAGTCGTTGAGATGGTTAAAAAGTAAATTAGTTTTAAGAATTCTATAAATTATAGTCAACATTTTAAATGAAACTGATACTTTGGCATATGCTTTTCTAATTAATAAAGAACGTTACGGGAATTTTTTAGATTGTCTGTTTTAACAAAATATCAAAACAATCTTCCCACGTATTGTTTTTTTCTCTGACTCTGAAATAATACTGTAAACAAGTGAGAATTTAATCAAATCAACAACAATTAGCAATACAAACAAACAACTATAGATTCCAATCACCCAACGACGCCAATTTTACACCAAACAGCCTCGGAACCTCCCTCGTCTCCCTCAACCTGGGCGCGACTTGCTCAAAATCCATTTTAAACAACCTTGTTGTGATTAAACTTTGTACGTTAACCAACG